GAGTGTTGTTGATTAATATCTGTAGATTTTCATAATCTATACTATCGTTTAACTTATTGCAAAGAACTCCCATTATCAAATTGCAGGTTTCTTCGATTTCCCGAAAAATTTAAATAGTGGTTAGGAGGTCGTCTACTTCAACTTACCTGAGGGCCAACTTACCCTTCTGTACTTAGATTAGTATAGCCCGCGGCGCGAAGCGTTGCGCACACCTCCAATTTACATACGGAACAACTTACCCCCAGCTTCCGCGGGGAGCAACTTCGACTACATTTTTTCATTTTACACTTAATTCTAAAAATTACCTTCTCCGCCTATCCTATTTCCCCACTCCCGAAATCTCTATAACCACCGTTTTTGCAGGACAAAATACTGGGAATAGGGGTGTATGAGTGGGCCTACATAAGCTACCTTTGCCGAAGTTTGTAAATAAAAAAGAGGACTGGCACTTTGAATTTTGATCGTTATCTTAAATGGGCGGTGGGATTGTATTAAACATCCACGGGAGGGGATGTGTGCTTAGCACGCGAGTTAGGGCAGATACCGCACCCGATCTGTTCCCCAGTTGATCTGGCTCAGTCTAGTTAATGACCCGCTTTTATTGTCTCACATACTTGGAGCAGTGGTGCGCTAGAAAGTTGTTGGCTGGGACGTCGAAGCTAAAACTTAAAGGGCAAAAATATGACAGTAGTGAGACTTCAGCAGCAGTGATTCGGAGTTAGGCAATGCAAGTGAGCGGCGCAGCTTAAAAAAAGTATCGAATGGATTTATAATTTTGAAGCGATGGACCATTTCCAACAGGATGTGCTCATAATTCCTGTGAACTAGGAGAGTTGGGGTCCTCTTTGACGGACAGGCCATAAGCATATTTGACTTTACATCTATCACCATGTGATCTAGGTCCTCAAATGCGAGTCTCGTCCCCTGATCGAGGTCCTGCATAACCGCCAGATCCTTTGCGTCTCTGAGTCTGCCCCTGGTAAATGGCGGCTGGCAGCACAGATCTTCCGGGTGTCCAGTGTTCTTGTTGTCATCGCTGTCCGCTTTTTTGGTCAGAAAGACGTGTCTTTGAACCGAAGTCAATTTTTTCTAGTCTTGCTTGTCAGCCCCCTTAAAGCCCACCCA